TTGACTGCATTCTCATTTAAGTCCTGAATTAGGAAGAACTCTCAGTAATATATATATATTGGATGAGTAAGAGAAAAACCCTCTCCCCTCCCTGTAAGAAGGAAGAGAGAGTAGGATTTGAGGGTAGGGAAGGATAGACATTAATATCCTCGGTTTGTGTTGGGCTTTGCCGTTTACAGCACTTTCATATGAACAACTTTACTACTTGGTTTACTAACTCAGTGAGGTAGGAAGGCTGATATTATCACTATCTTACAGATAGGGAAAGTAAGATTTAAGAATAGCTATTTGCTTGCAGCACCCACGGCCTCTTCCAGGAGCCCCATACTCTTTCCAGAATACCTATAAAAAGAAGCTCCAAACCAGACCCTGAGGAAAACCTCACAATTTGGCTTTGAGTCTTCTCTAAAGAGGTTAAATGTATGACAATGAAAGCTTGTTAAATGTGTGTATACTTAAAAGTCATGAATATTTTATGTCTGTGAAAAGTTTTTAGTCTAAAATCCAATCAGATGAAGTTAAATGAAGAAGGACCCATAATGGAAGTTATGCTTCTGCTAATGATATCACGGGACAGAGAAATGTGTTTAGGGAAATGTACCTAGTAATCCAAGAGTGGAAGACATGTGTGTATTTTGGGGAATTGGGAGTGGCACAGAGAGAAAAGGAAAAGGTTTGTGTAAACATAAAACCCTTCCAGGCAGGGGACCGTCTGATCCATCTTCCTTCACAAAGTACCCAGCACAGTGTCCAGAACTGGGCTACATAAATGTTTGTACAACTGAACATAAAGTGAAGACCAAGTTCTCCTTTGAAAGGCTAAACAAAAATCAATTTCTGCCACAATGCCTGCAGAGGTGTGGTCACTCAGCCCTGCCATCTGTAGAGTTACTCTGTGAACAAGTCAAAGGCCTTGGTGTGCAAGATTAGCCTCCTGTTCAGGTAAACTTTTGTGCTCACGTGAAGGACCTCTTCCCAGTCTCTACCATGGCATGATAGCAGGTTCTGCCAGTCATTTCCTAGATACCCACAGGCAGTGAGGGTTCTTTGCCTGGTTGGATATTGAAGTGCTCTTTCTAACTACCTGGGCATTCTGTTCTACAGCCTGCAGAGGAAAGTGCTGGAATATTCTCTAGCCTCCCAGAAGTTCTGTACATGTCTTTACCTTCTTAAGAATCATGCCAATCTTCCCACCCCAGCCTGGAGGGTCCATCTTTGTTCTGGCCAAAACAGAATTTGGTGCCTTTTATTTCTCCTTTCTCATGTATTTCTGCTATCTGTCCTTAGAAACTGGCACTATTGTGTAAAGGTACTACATTTGTGGGAAATTCTATATCCTCATTTTAGGGAATGAGAAGAGATGCAAGATATATAATAGTGTGAAAAGAAAAACCTTAGACAAATTAAATTTAGTTTAATGGAGCAAAGAATGATTTGCAAATTGCCACTGTCATATAGTCAAAAAGGATTTATGGAGAGAAAAAAGAAAATGACATACAGAACATGGTAGTGAGGTGCAGAAACAGCCAGATCGGGTATAGGTTAGCATTGACCTTATCTGAACACAGTTTGAACAGTTGAAGGCTTTTGATTGGCACACACACTTGCTGATTGGAGTTTACAGTCTGTGTATACATTCGGTTAGGTTACAGTTCACTGTGTATGCAGAAACCTTTAGGCCACATTTAAAATATGTAGGGTGGCAACTTTAGGCTAAACTTACTTTTATAATACCTATTTACAACAGCTACTACATTCTATCGGCCAGAAGTTTCATGCAGCTTATATTTAATTCTCACAACAACCATGTAAGGTAATCATTTTTATACCATTTTACAGCTTCAAAAACAGTGACCCAAAGAATCTGTGTAAATGGCATAGCCAGAAGTCCAGTCTGTCTCACTCTAGAGCTGCCTCTAGAAAAAGTAGGCCTGTGTTAACAAACCTGCACATCCTGCACATGTACCCCAGAACTTAAAATTTTAAAAAAAGATTCCAGTAACATTGGACAAAAATAAAAACTTTTTTAAAAGATAATACCTAATAATAGCAAAGATCTGGTAGAGAAATGATTCAATACAAAAAAAATAAAAAGAAAAAATAGATAAGGAAGACATTTCCATAGTCAAATTCAGGATGTGCTTATTTTCAAGCAACTAGAAGTACTTACCAAGAAATGCTTGTTGGGCACCTAGTAGAGAGGCCTTTCTCAAATTTGACTCATATATCACCTGCATCTGGGCCTCATCCCAGAGCCCCTCGACTAGAGCCTGTTTATTTGTGGCTTTGGAATTGGCATTGCTAACAGCTCTCCAGGTGATTCTTACATTATTAGAGAGCTACGCCAGGTCGAGGGCATAGAGCAGTGTCTCTCAAAATGTAGTATTAGGCCACTTGCACAAGATCACCTAGAGCAATTGTGTAAAATTCAGAGTCCCAGCCTCCATCCCTGGAAATAGGGTAGAGCCCAAGATTGATTTATATTTTTAAACATCCATTTTATTAAGTATCACATGTTATCATTTTTTTTTTTTTTTTTTTTTTT